CAGAGCCGCGGGGCCTTGTGGCACCCCCGGCTGAGCAGCCACAGGCTTCAGCTGGAAAAACTCCAGATAAATATATTTTCAAATAAATACGGTTGGCTACTGTTAACGCGGTCAGCAGCCTTGGCTGGTACTTTGAAAGCAAATTGATATAAAAAAAGTTCCCCTTTATTCATTCAAGGGTGGTAGTGGAAACCAAGCTCTAACGCAGGAGGTGGCTTTCACTCCATTTCGTTTGAAAAGCCGGGCAGAAACGTACCAAAAATGAACTCCGGGCGGAAAACAGCAATCCACGCCTCACAAACTCCCTGCAAACAGCAGCTCTGCGCTCCCTGCCCGTTGCTGACGAGAAAGTAGGTGTCAGTTCCCCCCAAATTTAGAACAATGTACTCTCAGTAGAAAAATAAAGCAGGTGTAAAAATCCATAGCAGTTATGGTCACCATATTCCACGTTCTAGTACAGAAAACAGGGCAAAAGTGCTTTCCATCTATTTAATGTCACTGGTTTCAGTGGTGTTGCACTGGAGACATGCTAACATTAGAACAACGTGACATCTTCATACTTTCGCTTCACGTGGGTTTCAATCCGTCCAGCTCCCAAGCTCCCATTGATGCTTCACATTCAGTTTCGGGTCTGAAGAACCAAACCCCATGTGAAACCCAAGTGAAAGCCACACGTTTGCTTTATTTGCACAGAAACTGTAACTGTTGCATTGTTGTGATAAAATATTATCAATCAATCTCATAAATATTTGTGAAGCCCTAGGCAGTCAAAGGCTGACTTCATCCTTAACGAAATGGATTTCCTTGTGGCTTTACATTTTTTAAATAAAAACCCGCTACAGATCGATCTTCTCCCCAAATCAGTTTTGTACTAGCTGTGTGACTTCGACCACTTCGAAGCGCAGCAGAATGGAAGCCCCAAGTTGTTTTAAAATGGATTCTCACCGAGATGTCAGCCCCTCTCCATGAGCAGTAAATGTTTCCACCACGAGGTGTCTCAGAGGTTAAAGCACTGGAAGAAGAAATTTGGGACTGGCTCTTACTGCACACAAACAACCGGCATTGCCTTGCTGTCACACCTGGTTATGTCTGTTCAGGAAGCAACAACAACAACAAAAAGAGTGTAAAAGGGTTGTTTTTGCCTTTGTTGTGTCCTAAGTATAAGTGAACTGTATTGTAGGGAGCTGTTAATTTTTAGCATCCTTTGAAAGAAATAAAGAGTGTAATTCTGCTCCCAGTCCTGTAAAAATCTGTACAACTTATCTGAAGTCCACAAAGTAGCTTTGAGTTTCCATGTTACCTAGTAGAGGCCAGGATATGATCACATGTTTTGCAACTGCAATATGAGTATTTATCCTGGGCTTGCAATCAAAGAAACAGCAATGTCGCTATGAGGGCTCGAAATAAAAATGACCTTGGTAACAATCACCTATTTTGTAAATATTCGCACTTGGCAGCTTGCTGTTTACATACAAAAACAAACACTGAGGAGGAAAGCTTGAGATGTTCTCCCCAGTATGTTCCACTGTAAATAAACGTTGTGTCTGAAACTGGAAGCTCTTTATGACAACTGCGATAACATTTGAAGCAGCTCTGTAGTATTTCACAGAACCACAGAATCATAGAACGGTTTGGGTTGGCTTTTGATGCAGCCCAGGATACGGTTGGCTTTCTGGGCTGCAAGTGCACATTGCCGGGTCATGCTGAGCTTCTCATCAACCAACAATCCCAAGTCCTTCTCCTCAGGGCTGCTCTCAACCCGTTCTCCGCCCAGCCTGTATTTGTGCTTCCCCCTCAGACTGCCCCGACCCATGTGCAGCACCCTTCACCTGGCCTTGCTGAACTTCATGAGGTTCGCACTGGCCCACCTCTCAAGCCTGTCAAGGTCCCTCTGGATGGCATCCCTTCCCTCCAGCGTGTCGATCGCACCACACAGCTTGGTGTCATCGGCAAACCTGCTGAGGGTGCGCTCGATCCCACTGTCCATGTTGCCGACAAAGATGTTAAACAGCGCCGGTCCCAATTTCTCCAAACTTCATACTGATCTGGTTATTGGGGTGTTTAGTGGTAACATACGTTAGTTTAGCTTAACAGGGCCTGTTGGGAGAAGCAAAAAAGGAGGGAGAACTCAAGTCCCTTCCCTCCCCCAAAATACTAATATCTAATTAAAAGATAACACCAGTGCTACTACTTATGAAGATTTTTCATACCGTACAACTGATCTACAAAAGTGAATTAAGCCACGGTAAGAAGTGGTCCATGACCGAAGAGAGAAAAAGACCTGTAGCAGGCCTTAGAGGAATATATGAAAGAGGGAATCAGGCTGACACTGAGGTGTCTGAAGTTATGAACATCTCAGCTGCCATCAAGTGCAGGGTAATCTTCAGGTAAAAAGACATGGATCTCAGCAGGTGGTTGATTTAGATAATTTTTCCCTAAACCGTTTCCTCCTCCTATAAACATAAACAAAAGACTGACAAGAAGAAATCTGCATTATCTCTATATTATTAATTGCAGATCACAGGAGGAAAGAGCGGCATGTGTCCAACCTGCTAATTAAGAATAATTACCCCATGAGGTTCTGTAAGTGTCCCATGTACAAACAGCAAAATCGCCCGAATCACAGCAACGTGTACCACCGCTAAAGAAGCAATTAAATGTTGTGAGGAGATGCTGTGTCTGCATTCCCTGGGCATTTTTGACCAAGAAGGAAACAGTTTAATGGCTTTTTGCACAAGTTTAAGTACATCACAGAACTAGAGATGCTCAGGAATTTTAAAAATCAGGAAGCAAAAGAAGGAATGGACAGTGGACAGGGAGATCAGAGCAGTGAGGCACCCAGAAGGTGCAGGGTCGTGTCCTCACCCTGCTGCAGGCTCTGCTAGTGCTATGTGGTGCACTCGGGTAAACCTGTCTGGAACAAACAGGGGTTTCTACAGAACGGTTTCATTATTCTAGGGCTCAACACAGTTTCATGAGTAACAGCATCACCTTTTATAGAATAAAGGAGGAAGTAAAATGCCTACAGCAACATCTGGTACATAAAGCTGAGGCAGGATGAAAGGAGTGGCTAATAGCTGCTGTAACAGCTAGCAGAGCTCTGAGCAACTTTCGTGGCAACTGATGATGAGAGTTCTCCTCTCCCTCCTGCACTGTTTCACTCCCTCCTTCAGCATGGATTAAATCTGCTCTCCAAGAGGTTTTTCCTGTATACCATGACAAATATGCCTGTAGGCCATTTTTTAACCCAGATGAGTGAAAGTAATGCAGGGCCAGATAAGAGATTACAGTGATAGTCAAGCAAATTTAGAGACTGAAAGAAGGGAAGGAGGGGTTGCAGAGTAACATCACTGATTTCAGTGGGTGTAATCTTGATTCCTAATGGAACAAAAGAGATCCGAATCAGGCTCAAGAGTCTACAAAAAAGGTAATACTGGATCTGCAGGGCAGTCTGCTATCTGAACACTACTGACACCATAAGTTCACAGTTCTGCTGGAGACTCTGTTCTCTCAACCTGCAAGGGTTAAAGTTCAGGATTTTCCATTTCTAATTTCTCTGAACTAAATTAAGTTACTGAAATGTCTGAAGCAGCAGTAGTTTTGAGTCCTCTGTCAAAATCCAAACTAGCATCAAAGTCACAAAAGAGATTTCTTCCCATGAAAGAAACGTTCAGCAGACCAGTGAGGAAGTGCAACGGGAAACTTTCCCAGCCATGTCCCCTCTTTTCCCTTTCCCGTTCCCTCTTCTCCCTACCCTTCCCATGATGGGCAATGCAGGTGGTGTGGAATGTCACAGGGGGAATCTCTAGCCTGTTTACAATTACTTTGCACTACTTAGCAGATCGAAGAACATTGCTTTACTCCTCAGTGGTTTTTCTGATACTGCTTTGTGTTCTAGTCTTCATGAGGGAGGGCTCGGTTGGTGAGACCGGATGGGTAAGACAAGCACTGGGCCTGAAGAAAGAATCGATGGAATCATTGAACCCAAGAAGGAAATGTCATACGCTGCTATTATAACCTGAGAACTGCAACTACTTATCATTCATACTCATGCAGTTCCCACTGCCATTGTATCTGACCATCTCATTACCTTTAACATGTTTAACTTCATACCCTGGCTTAAAAATAGAGAGCTCCGAGCTTGGGAAGTCCTGTGACTTGTCCAAGATCACACAATCCATAGAAAGGCGAGAAGAGGAATCTGGTGTCTTGAGCACTGGGACAGCTGGTCTTCCCATCCCCTGGCTGCCTGTTTTCTCCTCTCAGCAGTAGCTGTGTTCTGCCAGTGGGCAGAGGGATGCTTGTACACACTGTGCATGTCTGCTGAAGGCACACTTGAGCATGCCAAGTCTGTCTTCCAAGAGGCTCCAAGAGCCCTCCGTTTCCAATGAAGTCAATTGGAGTTAAGGATGCTTACTGGCTTGCAGAAGCACTCAGCACAGTTGTACAACAAAGCCATCAATCTGTACATTTCCTTGAGCTGTGGAGAGAAACAAGATACGCATAACTAAAATTTATCCTGCTGCCTTACAGTTAGCAGCTTCCATTTCTTCTATTAAGATAATTTAAAATTTTGTCACTGACAATAAATATGTGACAAGAATGGGAGATAGCTGTTAAAGAGAATCCTGCTCTTCATTCTTACAGACAACACAAGCACTCAACAGAAAACAGATAATTCAGCTCTGCAAAAATACCAGCAGTTCTGAACTGCAGTTCTGGTTAATGTTTGGCTATGCAAAGAATGTAACTGGGGCAGAAAAAGCGAGTAGACTCACAATGCCGTATTTCATCAGACTGCCATGACTTTCTTAAAAATTTAAAGACTGGCAATGTCTTCTCTCTGTATTTTTTTTAATCCACTGTTATTTCCAAAACATAAACTCACACAAAAGGGGAACATTGGAAACGTACAGCAGATAACCATAAGAAAAACAGAAACCCTTTTCTTCATAACGTGAAAATGGTAGAAGTATTCAAATAAACAGTTTTATTCTGCATTTGGAAAAAGTGATGTAGTCACAGCACGAAATTCAGGATGATGTTAAAAAGCAGCAACCAGAGTTTGTAAGTGGGCACTCCTGTGTAACTTACAATAAAGAATCAAGAGGAGGTCTCCAAAGAACAGAAATGGCCAAGCAACTCCATAGATTATTCATGTCATTTTTCAGTAACTCCCAGAAGACAAAGATAAAATCAATACTGCTGTAGCATCAGGCAGTTGAATAGACTTCCCAGAGGATTATAGGTCTGACAACCTCATACCTATCCCAGGCAAAATTTGTGACCTTGAGCACACTCAGATTTTGCAAAAGTCTAACAGTTCACTTTTTTTTTTAATTAGCTTTGGCATCTTATTATGGCAAATAATACTCTCTAAACATCATCGTATCACGATGCCTAGCAGAGCCTGCAAGCAGCCTGAAACAATGTCTTATTGAGGTCTTACTAATCTCACCCTGTCTTACTCTGGGTGCTCAGAGATGACAGCTTGTTGCCAAGACTAACTCTTCTACTGCTGATCAAAGAAGCACAGGGCTATGTCACAGGAAGGAAGTTTACGTGGGGTGGGAGTTTAGATTTTCAGCAAGGAGAGAAGAGCAGATGAAAAAACAAAAGCAAAGACACAAAAGCAAAGAGAAAGATTTTATTTCCTCTCTTGTGCCTTGACACATGAATCTGCTATGAGCCTGGTACAAAATTTCTGTTACTATAAACTGGATCTCCATTAGAAAAACTTGCCAATAAATCTACACTGGTAGCACAAGCAAGGTGTGAATATAGCTGGAAAATAGTTAATGACCGTGTAAGAATACCTACTGCAACAAAGATGAGTTTTCTGCTTGCTCTCTATGCTAACCTCCACCCGCAATCTGCTATGAACTAGATGCATCCATGCCTCAAAGATGTATCTAGCTGATGGTCTATAGTTAAATAAGAAACCCAGTTCTCTTCTCCCTCTGAGTTTTGTGCTTCTGCCATAGACTTTTTCACAGTAGATCACCCAGTACGAAAAATAAGCTTCAAAAGTACTGCAAGAAACAGTGACTTGTGGATGGCGTACTGACAATTTTTAAGGCTACAGAGTAAAAAAGACTGAGAGCCACTGACGCAGAGTAGCATCAGCTGTTTATAATACAGAATTAGGTGTAAAAGTCTAGATACCACATTTGCACATGTTGGTCACTATCTGTTTAAATATTTCATGATGTATGCAATTAAGTTCCTTCATCACTGTTGACTCCGTGATTTTAGAAATCCAGTGTACTTATCATTACCTATGTTCCGGGCTTATTTTCCCATTTCGACAGGGTTGCACAGTGACAATGAATGAAAACAATTTCCTTTGTATTTATAAACAGATTAGATTTTGGGATCTAAGAACTGCCATATTTGGTGCACAAAAACTGACGTCTGGCATGTTTGGAAACAAAAGCCTGTGTTATTTAGACTTAAAAAGAAGATGCAGAATAGATTTATAATTATTGTAATTAGAATAAAAGCATGACTGCACTGAACTTAAATCCTGGTCCAAATTTCATATACACCCACAAATCCATCCAAATAGAAATTAACTTCATAATTAATACTGGATCATTCTCATTACAAGAAGACACTATTAATTATTGATGACGCTTGTATTTCTTCCTAACTGTTTACATCTTTTCACCCTCCAGTTCCTGGAGTGCTTCGGATGATGCAGTGTGTACAAATCAAATCCCTCAGAGATGTGGAAGTGACTACTCCACTCTTGTCCTGCCTGCACGCAGGAAGACCTGCTCCTGGATGTTCTTATCAAGCAAAATACAGAGGGGCATTTGTTTGCACGAGCAGAGCTAGAATATTCTC